CTTTCTGACTTAACCCTCAAACTAGGGGACTCACTACAAACAGCTCATCTGAAACCAGATTTATTCGTGATTGTGTCATTCCTCTGAAAAGCCAAAAAGGCACCAGATGTGCCATTAACAAATCATACAGTAAGTGGTGATGAGAGCTGGGCTTTTTTTTTTTCTTTAAATTCACAAGTTACCTTCAAAAGAAGAAAAAAAACCCCTTTGCTATCAGCAATCTCTCTGGCTGACAGATGACAACATTGCTATACTTTGTTAATTTTTTTCAGGAATGCTTGCTAGGGAGGAGGGCTCATCGTCTCTAAATAGTTCATCCCCTGCCATCAATAAAAATGTACTTGGAACAGATTCTAAAAATGTGTTAGTTGGTAACAACTATTTTTAGAGGCAGTGGATAGAAACAAATAAGTTTTGCATGAAAATGTGTTAAACAAAAACAAAGCTGTAACCGTGGACATGAGTAGTAGAATGTGTAAAGGCCAAATTCCCTCTTGCCGGATCAGAAATGCTCTATGGACTACTGGTTTGACAGTTGAGTTATTAGAAACATAACCACTCCCACGAAGGACAGGTAAAACCTTATGAAGGAAGCCTCACTTCCCCCCAAGGTGCTCAGAGAGCAGGAAAGATCCTACACAATACAGTAAAATCATTCTCAAACACAATCAGCTCACGACAACAAAAGAAAGCAGCCTATCCTTCACTCTTCAGAGAGGAAAACCACTTTGCAAACCTTGAGGAACAGATATATACTATGAGCATATACCAACAGGTACAGGCTCAGAATGGGAGATTTTATCAAAACATCCCAATGTAAAGGTTTCAATTAGCCTTTGCTTTCACAGTAATAAACTGCAGTCCTTGCTATTCAGATCTCAACATCTACAATTCCAGAACTTGCAATCCAGATACTGTACTGATTGTTCTTGGATACTAACAATAATAGGGAAATACATTCAAAGTACAAGCACCAATAAAGCTGCAACACCGATTTTTTGCAAAATGACTGGCAAAATTAAACATTCAGGCTACATGATTCAAAACTCTCGGGATTTTTCTCTACACTTCAAGAGAATCACAGACATGCAGCTGTACAGCCATTTCATTCCTTGAGATAGTAACACGTAACACGTATGTAGGTGCAACAGACTGGTTTCCTTAAAGACCTATTCCTGAAAATTTGGATTAGACAACATGATGACAGTCTCAAGTGAAGTCCCTGACACCACTTGCTTGAATAATACAAAATAAATGCAGGCTTGCACGCACACTGCTCACATGCGAGCAAGAAAGTCAAAAAACACAACTCTTGAGGGCTAAGCTGTTACTTTACCAAAGCACATAAAGCTGTTGACTTCCACTTCAGACGTTCAGGCATTTAAAATGAACTTATTTTGTGGAATTAAGGACTCCAAATTGATTTACCTTCAGGTTCCAGCGTGGCGTCTTCAACAACTAAATTAAACGAAGGTCGAGCCAGGGAAAGTCCAGCCATGGTGACGACCACCAGGCAGATAAGGCAACCCGAATCCCAGCTGACCATCTTTTTAGAGTAAAATCCTGGTCCATTTCCATATCTCCATGTGGACTTTAATCCCATCTGAACACCTCTAGAGACGCATGGAGAGAAAGCAGTGCCTTCGGCCAGGTTAATACTCCTCCCTTGGAACGAGGGCTGTTGCTGTGGGGAGGAGAGAGATTTAACACTGTCAGTGAAACCATCTTAAACAGCAAGCCAAAAAACTTCAGAAAGCCCCAAACAGAGCTGAGGTGAGAGTGGGAGGAGGAGAAGGATGGGAAAAATAGTTTTCCAGCTTCAAGAATATGTGAAAAGTGAGTGACTTTTCATTTTCTGTTAGCAGTTTCCATCATCACCTGAGGCGTAACCAAGCCCTCCTTGTTTTCACAAAATCACTTCTCAGCACACACTTAGAGAACTATTTTACGGACAGAAAAATATAGTTTATAAGAAACGAGAGGCACACACATGTGCAGGCATATAACCTGTAATGCTACAAAATTACCACAATTAGACAAATTACGTTCTTGTTATTGTTTGAAGGTTTTATGTAAGTTTGCTTTGTTTTTCATTCCTTCACCTAAGCAATTCTGCAGCCAGCTGACTTTGCAAGAATTCAGTAATTTTCCACAAGAAAAACAGCTGAAAAATACGCTTTAGTCTTGGATAATCCATAAAACTTTATTTCACTTCAGGACTAGCAGCTCCTCTATGGATGTACCTTCTTCTACCTCAGTTCAGCATCCTTTCAAAGCCCAAAAGTCCCGTACAGGTGAAAGGCCCCAGTCTTTGCAGGGACACTGGTTAGCTACACGGCATTACAGGCAATTAAGATCTGTATAAAGTGCGGCACAGATTGCAGTTTCGCAGGAGACCTCTCCAGCATCGTTTTCCATTCATACGTGCTAAACTGCACAGCACGCTCACACGTTTCTGTTCTCGGTCTCTCTCTCAACGATGCTTATTGATATATATTTTTCAGATGGGATAAAAAAAAAAAAGCTTATTTTGTTCACAGTAAAACTAATTTAAATGGATGGAGTAGACTGGTAATCCAGGCATGGGCTGATGGAAGACAGAACAGAAGCAGTGCCAAAGTAATTGGCACTCCCTTCAGGGGACCCTGTTGACACCACACTAAGATGCCAGGTGAGGGTCAGAACAGCATCCTCACAGGGTGATTTAACCGCTCAACCAGAAAATGAGACCTGATTTTCCGCTTCAAAAATAAACGGCAAACCTCAGCAAATGGATAAAACAAGTAACTGCAGCAATTGTTCTGATCTGGCCAATGATTCATCTTAGACGTGGTGAAAACCAACTGAAGCTTCGAGAGCACTCATATTGAAGGGAAACATAACATAAAACCTCTTTTTAGCTTCTGCCCTCACCCTTCAAAAACAAAAAGCCAGAGAGAGTAAAGGCAAACCTCTCAAAACTCCCTGCCATTTGGATGAGGTGTGGCACCTCAAGCATACACTAAATAGAAACATGGACAAATATTCTCCCTTCATAAAACCAACCATTAAAAAGTTTATTCTGACTTTATTAGGCTTTCGCTACCTGCTACATACAAACCAAGTTCACAGTGCTAAGGACAGAAATGCTGTTGAGGCATCTTTCATGTTGGGTACTATATACAGTAACTTCTGGAGTCAGCAGAAACAGATTTTAGATGACATAAATAAGGCACTTGGGCAAAATAATTAATACACAGTATTTGAGATGAATTCCTGAGACTTCAGGGCAAGCCTTTTTCACCTTGCCTGCTATCAGTTCAAAGCTCTGTCCCCCCTTTAGACGTTGAAGCATAGGGCGAGCATCCTAGACCACAAGCTAGAAACTACTACTAAATCTCTAGTGAAACCACTACCAGACCATGGCAGAAACACCTGCAAAGAGCTCGCTGAGCACTTCTCTAAATAACTGCGGAGCAGGTGCAGAACTGATGAGAGCTCTGTCTCCCAAAGGGGTCCGTATTTGGTGAAGGACCGGAGCAAGCCCTCCTGGCCACAGCCACCCAGGTCAACCTCCCGACTCGCCGTCTGACAGCCACAGCTCTGTAGCTCAGTTTATCCAGCTGTAAAGCAGGTAGAAACCCTAATGAACAGACTGAATGTAATGCTAATTTAATTTCTATAAATCATCCTGTAAAGCCAGATTAAAGGCTATGTAGATAAACGCAAATTTAATCGGAATTTTGCAAAAATAAAAGATACCAGAATGCTAGCAGACACCCCAGGCTCTAACAGCGTTAATTTCACTCACATTTCAGCTGTTTTCAGATCTGTAGGCTACATTAAAGGCCACTGAAAGCACGTTTGTGGTTCCTACCTTCATCCTAAATCCTGAAGCGCAGCACATGGCTGCTTGCCCACCCGTCCTCTCACCTGAAGACTTCTGCCAGCTTCTGCACCTGAACATCTGCCAGCAGAAGGAAGGGGCTCTTCATCCACAGGGCACCAGAAAATTCAAAACAGCGGCTTATAAAGGCGTAGCAAAGCAAAAAAAAAGAGCTCTGGATCCATCCATGGAGCCAAACCACCTTCTACCACCACGACAGCGACCAGGGTTCGAGGTCGAGGGTTGCCCTTTCCCAAAAGAAGCAGAGTCCAATGAAGATGAAGCAAACCCAAATTCTTTTCATAGTTTAATCGCCACAGTTGCTGGGGGACGAGTCTCTGGAAAGACCTCCTGCGCCGGATAATTATGTACCTCTATCTCAATGTTTGGAACACAGCCCCAGCATGCTTTTTGGCCTCCACAATTCTGGCTTCCTGACTACAATACCATAATCCCTCCTGGAGTCTCAGACTCAGTGAAAGCCACACGTAGTGTTTATTTTTCCCCTTGAAAGGGAACTCTGTCTCTCCTCTCAGCCTACACTTTGGGGAGGAGTTGTCACCCTCCAATGATTGATGGCTCTCCTTGCCACTCGCTCATCAAGTCAATTTTCACCTTGTCACATACCTGCCCAAATTTCTTTGCCAAACTGACAAGCATGGGAAAGCAGACTGGTTTGGGGGCCCAACCAAATTCCTCCAAGCTGTACCTCAGTTTAAAACACACTCGCACACGCAAACAAGTAGTACTTGTTCAGCAGTGGCATTAATTAAATGCAATGCGCAGTGTTCTTTTTAATCTACTTCCATTGTTGTTTATAAGATGTTTATCACTCCCCAGGGAGAGTACAATTTGTAGAGTATGTTAACCAAATCAATACACTGCTCGTTGTATAACTCTTCAGCATCTTTCTCCATTAGGCAGGGAACGGCAAAATTTGAATGAAATATGGATCTTCCCTCCACAAAGAAATCGCAAGCGCCCTAAAAGCCCAGTAGCTCCACCAGAAAAATCCAGGTACATGAAGCTTTAAAGCTTTGTGCACACACATACACAACTACATACGCGCCTATAAATATATATACACACATACATATATACACATGACAAGACTCTTCATCATAGTTCAGTCTCCAAACAAATCTGAGCTACACAGCTATTAAACATTAATTCTGGAGGACTAATGGGAACCGTCTGGCAGCTTCAGTACTTTTTCATTGTTTGAAGTTCTTTCATTTGCTTTCCAGGACTATCCTGTTTTTCTCAAGTCTTTTGCCACTAAGAGATCAGGGGGGAGGGAAAAAAAAAAAAAATCTGCATTTTAATTGACATTCCAGAGAGAGACAGAAGTCCAGAGGCTGCTGATTGCTGTCTATTCAGCCCAAACAGGCTTTTCAGATGAAAATGAGTAAAGGCTAGTGGAAGATTTACAGGGATTTGGTACAAAGGAGACAATGAAGTTTTAAATGTTGATAGCGTTTCACACCAAACGCATAATGGGTCCCTGTTTGAAGGGGCCGTTTTGCATTTAAATATATATTTCATCGAGGATTTCTTTCTCCCCTCATCTCAGACCCGGGGCAGCCACATACCGCCGGCCCCTCTTCCCGAGCACCGCG